ATTGGTGAGGAGCAAACTATTTTTTTAGAGCTCCTAGCATTTCTTTATAACTGGTTTTTTGAAATTTCTGCTTTGCAAAATTAAGAAAACCAGAAATTACCCCTACCAGTATCTTCCAATACCAGCAAGCGAGTTCTCTATTAAAATAGAGACTTAAATTTCTTCCCTCATATTAGCACTGCATTCCCGAAAATCAGTTAGCGATAAGCAAAGAACGATTGTCCGTTAATTCCGTTGCTGTTTTTTAAGGGCAAAACTGGAGAATTTTTTTACCCCCACTGCTTAAAGTGTCACACCAAAGTGTCAGTATCTCTGGATCAACATTCTCATTGCGAACAACATCGCTTCCTGCAGTAATGCCTCACAGTTTGGGGGGAAAAAAAACCTTAGTTTCTCAACGCTTGCCAAGTTGCTGCCGAACGCTAGAAGAATGAAACTAAAACTGTAAAGTAAATGAAATCAAAAATGGAAATCGAAACTGTAAAGCAAATGAAATCACTGAAATTAAAACTGTGAACTGATCCACTCACGTTTTGCATCTTCATTTATTACTTTCGTCACAAACACATTCATACACAAAAACAAACACGCATAAACACACACACACACACATCGCACCCACATACACACATATGCGCATATACACATACGTACACTGCCAGTAGTTGACGAGTTGTTTGGGAATAACGCCGTTTGTGATTTGTGCGATCACGACGTTCACTAATAATTTTTCACGGTTGCCTAAGCATATAATTTGGCTGGGAAAGGAGTGACGATGGCTTTGAGGAGCGGTGAGGGAGAGGAACATCAGCACAGCACACTCACAGACAGCTGCCAATCACAACTACAAATTATTTCTTATCATCGAAATATGAAATCCCTTCTTTATCGCAATACCATCAGTCCTCCAGTGGTTCGCTTAACAAGAAACCCGAGATAAGATGAAATGAGTATGAGTGGCAGAGAGGGGCGCAGACGGGCTACAAAGTTTCGATCTCTTTGTGGCGGAACTACTTTATTAGAATGAAAAAATGAGTGTCGGAACTGAAAAAAAAGCCATTTACTCGGGAAACATCTTGAAATGAACTGCCGGTATCTACGGGCTCAAAGACTTGTTCGCCTTGTTGCGAAATAACTTCTGCATATTTAACTTACATCTATAAAGTTGTTCAGTCCGTGTGAGTGTGTGTTTTTTTAACGGTAGTAAGCGTTATTTTGTTTGAATTCAATAGGTTCTATATGAAAAATTTGCACAAGTGCTGCATTTGCAGAACATCTCCTGAATGTTAAGCTTACTGTAT